TGCAAGATATTATCTCAGAGATCAATTAAGCTTAAATAGTCATCTTTTTCATCCTAGAAATACTTACTCAACACTGTTTAGTTGTATACATGTATTTTTCTCAATACTGAATAGAAACTTAACGCTGAAACTGACACTTCTTTTTCTGATCAAATCTTTTCATCTTCCTTTATCTGTTTATCCATATCAGAGAGCAACAGCAGGTAGAGGGGTTTTCTATTGTCTATTTAAATTCTCTATAATTTTTCCTTTACTGCAAGTCACTTCAGATTAGAACAACACAATGATAGTAAACTGATACATATTGACAGTGTTTTAATTTGGTCTCTATTTTATGTTCACATTGTCCAAGACACTTCTATATAAAGATACTTAGAGGGCTAATACCACATACTTTTCTGATGTATTAAATTACCAAGAATATTTCTAGCCAGTCACAACCTAGAGAAGTCAAAATTTATCTTCCCACAAACATTGCAGAACTGTAAAAGTATTTCATATGTTCAGTTGTTTCTTATCTGTACTGATTGCTGATCCGGCCAGGTTATAGACCAGGCCCAAATTTCCCCCTCTGACCAAATTTTTCAAGGTGCTATATGCTTTCGTAATGGGAAAGTCAACGGAACTTCTGGGAAGGGAGCACTACGTAGCTGTTAAACACTGATGAAGTCAATTTATTCTCATGTTGAGGTTGTTGAATCTTCCTTTGTTTAGTCTAGTTCTATAAAAAGAACAATATTCATAAGCATATCCCTAGAGATGGTTACTGACATTTTAAACAATTGTCTTAGCCTGCAACAGCTATCCTACATTTCCTTGTGTGATCATGGCAACTGACAGTACATACATCCAGCATAACCTCAGATGCAATGTAACCTAACTTCATCCCGGGATTACATAGGCTAAGGAGGTGAGCAGTGATGAAACCCTGCACTATTTCTGAAAACATTTAGCACAGAACTGAGAACCATGCTACTTGGGATGCCGGTCCAGAAGTGCACTTGCACATGCTGACGCTGAGCAGCTGGCTGCAGGAATGGGGCTGTTGAAGATGAGTCACAGGAGGCAATCTTGGCCACAGCCTGCTCAGCTGACAGGGCTCAAACATTACCAGTAGCAACCAGGAGTTCAGCATCTCTCCCACCTCTGGGGCAAGTGCAGCTCCTGTCACCACAAGGCAATAGGCTACACTAGGAATCACAGGGGAAGGGGGAGAAGATATCCCTACCTCCTATGGCCACCATCCTATGCATGCTCTTGTGTCTCTCTGAAGTGCACACTCAGCCACCCCAGATCTCACACCCCTTCCTACAAGTCACTGAACTAAAATTGGTCAGAGTTTGTCAGATGTGCTCATAGAGATGACAAGACCACCCCTTAAGAGCATTTAGGAACAAGGATGTCAAATGACCCAGAGGGACAGGTTAACATAGTTTCTCAGCACCAAAAGCAGTCTCAACCCAGGGTAAAGACAGCAGCAGAAGGCAGGTGTCCAGCCTAGCCTGATTTCACTGGCAAAGGCACACCCACGTGTACCTCTGCCAGCCATGCAACCTTCTTCACTCACTTCTTTTACCCGCCTTTGGTTTAGCTGCCTTGTGCTTCTTCATCTCAATGAACCATTTTCTAACAAAAACTGAACAGAAATATCATCCAGACTAGTCGGGAACAATAGTTTATTGGTTAGATTTTTGTGCTTTTGGCTTAGAATTGCATGTGTCGCGCAACTGAGGGCATAGAGCAGAACAGGCTCAGCCCAGCCCAAAGCTGGGCACGTACCCCAGACATGGGGCCGAGTGTCTCCTGGCCTCCTGCTGGCACACAGCCCACTTGCGGCCTGGGTGATCTGCCCTGGTATTTAAACACAGCCAGAAGATCTTGCTTCGTTTCAGAAAACACACAGAATGCATCCACAGCGGTGTGGAGAGGGTATCAAGACACAAAAGCAGGATTTCCATGGCATTGTCATCTCTCAATCAAACAGTACGAATGTTAGGAAACAGACTTTCTCCAAAGGAAACGGCAGCTTGAAGAGTGTCAGAAATGAGAGCCCCCGCAGAGATCCATCAAAACAACTTTCTTCTGTAGCCACTACATAAGAGCAGCCTCTCAGCCTGACCTGAAAATCTGTAATCTGGTACCCTGTCTTCTTCCCTTCCCTCCTTACAATTTGAAAATGAACCTCCTGAGAAAAATACAGAACAGGACAAAAGCTCAAATTGGCTATATTTAATATTTCAATTATAATTAATCAATGCATAATACATGAGCTTCCAGTGCCACACTTTATAGTGCCATATTATGCCCTGGCAAGGTCCCTGCCCTGCACTAGGCATGTGATCTTGGCAGCAGCCAGCTCCACACTGGCTTTGCTGCACCAAATGCCTCCATGGAGCAGTCCTTCCAAATCTCCTTCTATGTATTTAATCATGAATATGTCAGTGATAAAAGAATTTTTACTGTCGGCCCTGTTACTATGCAGAACCCCTACACACAACAGCACACAAGCTGCTTCTGTTATGTCTGCCTTCACAGATGAGACCTCAAGTCCCAGCTAGTCACTCTCTAGTCACAAGCTAGCAGCCAGCTTCTCCTGCAGCACCGTGAGGGGAACATATGTAGAAACATTTCTACTGTGAAGGTGACCAAGCACTGAGACAGGCTGCACAGAGAGGTTACGCAGTCTACATTTGTGGAGATGCTCACAACTCCACAGGACACGGCCCTAGGCAGCCTACTCTGAGCAAGGGGTTGGATGAGATGTTCTCCAAGGTGCCTCCAATCTCAGTTACTCTGTGAAAAAGGCCACAGTACAGGTATGATAAGAAAATAGTTGCACAAATACGATTATTTCTTAATCTAGCTGATACAAAATATTTGGGGACAGAAAAGAACCAGCATCATGTTTTTGTAAGAAAAAAACAGCTGTTTCATTGAGCCTATCGCAACCAGCACCGCATGCAACCCTGCCTACCACGCAGCCATCCTCAAACACTGCTCACATGCAAACAGAGCAAGAGAGCAGCAGGAGCACATTTGTCTGAAGACAAGATGAGACTGGGTCAGCACTCAGAAAGCAGGAGGAAGATCTGTCAAGCAGGCAGTGGCTAGCTGTGTTGGGCATGAAAGCTGGTCTATGGCAATAGAATAGCAAGAAGCTGGGCGTCCTTGACATGCTGGCAACCGCAGCCATCATAACAACAGAGTAAAGCATGTGTTAAATCCACAGTGTAACCAACAGCTCTAGGTTACCTTAAGAGTTCTTGAATTTAATACAATGTATCTGGCATGCATGAGACAATTCAGAACCATTTTCTTCTGAGCTGCTATTGAAGACCTGAGGTGGTATAACTGACAGTGAAGTTCCATCTTTTTTTGATGTGCACGCCTTCCTTATAGTTCTCTGTCTCTGACAGCTGTGGTTTACCCAGTGACTTCATGAACTCCACAAGGTGGGAATGTATGTCACTAATAGACGCTTATTACCTCAAGAAGTATCAAACTCAGAATTCAAACATGAATTACTTACCTTTAAAGATTTAATTAATTAAAATTAATTATGTCCCAAAAGGATGACAGTTTAACACCAAAAGGGGGGTGAGTCATCCAAAAGGTACATCACCAAGTGATTTACTGCCACTATAGTGAGCTTGATAATATCAGCAACAGGAGTTCAGCGCACTTCTTACTTCAGCTGATCCAAGGCACAGATACCATCCCCATGGTCACGCAGGGAAAGCAATTCAATATAGAACTTACTTGCAGCAGAAAAAAGTTTAAAGCTACCCTCTCTGGTACATCCTTCACTGCTTTAAAGTTCCAGATCTTACATTTAGGGCTGGAAATGTGACAGAAATCCATCTGCCCTTGTCCAGGCAAGTTTTCTGCCCCTCTAAATTTCACTACTACAGCGTCAATCTGCCCAATGCAAGAAACCAGAGACACGGAAAGATGACCTAGTTCACACCACGATGTCAACTGCCTTTGCTTAGGAGACTGAAGGTCCGAGAACTGCACAAATACTTCGGGAGTACCAGGAAACGGTCCTTTAACTTAAGGACAGTGGGTAGCCAGTATCTCAGGGATAAAATTAGCTACCTTAGCAAAATGTTCAGGCTCCCTGCACAGTTTCGATTTTACATGTCTGTGGCCGAATTTCTCTCTGTCGGGAAAGGTGCCAAAGCTGAACTTAATCATTAACATCAGAATCCTTTCTTTGGCCTCCAGTCGGCTGCCCATCACGGGGCTTAAAAGGCAGCGAGCACGACGCTTTGAACTCACGCAGCCAAACCTTTGTGTTTTTTTTTTGTTTTTTTTTTTTTTCTTTCCCCCTATGAAAGCTTAACTTGTAGCTTTGTTTTGCTTCGTTTTCCCTCGGAGATGCACCGGCAGCCGAAAGCCCCGCCTGGCATAGCTCCCCCTCCCCTCCTAAACGGGGGTGCTGCCCGAGGACCCGGACAGAGGGGCTGTCGGAACCCCACACACAGCAGCCCACCTGGCAGCCCCGCTCTCCTCTTACATGGGAGCAGCGGAGGGAGCGGAGCGCGCTGCTCCCTCCCCACACGTGTCCCCCGCCCCGTCCCGCGCCCGGGGCAGCTCCCGCGTACTTACCGCGGCAGACACGGCGCTGAGCTCGGCGCTCAGCAGCAGCCCGAAGCCCAGCCAACGCCACATGTTACCGCGCACCGCGCTGCTCCGTCGGTCCCTGGGCGGCGGGGCGCCGGCGGCTCAGCGCGGCGTGGGGGCTCCTCGGGGCCGGTCCCACATGCACGCCTCTCCCCTCCGTGCCGGCCGCGGCGCCTGCAATGCCTCGGGGCCGAGCGACTGGCCGCGCCGTAACCGATGGGCGGCGGCAGCCCCCTCCTCCCCGCGGGCGGGCGGGCGGGGACCCTGGGAGGGTGCAACGGCGCTCCCTCTACGCCGGCCGCGATTCCTATTCCTCTTCCTCCCGCCGCGGGTGGGTGCGGGGGGGCGGGGGGAGGCGCGGCGCTCCCACGCCCCGCACCGCCGCGACCGCCCGGGAGGGCACGGAGAGCCGCGGGCTGCGGTGCGAAGGGGCCGGGGACGCGGGCTCCGCCGTCCCGTGGCTGCGGAGGGGCCGCTCCCCGAGTCCGGCGCTACATGCGGGCTGTGCTCTGCTCTGCTTCCCAGGGACGGCCGCGCGGAGCCAGCGAGTCCTGAGCCGAGCCCCCCGGCTGGGAAGGAGCCGACATGGACCTCTCGCCGCTTCCCGGCGCGCGTGTTTTTGTTTGTCAGTAAGTAACTGCAACTTTTTTAAAGTCGCATTCACCTTTTGCTGCGGGATTTATCACGTGCTTGTGCTGCGCTCGCTTTGACCAGCACTGAGTTTGTCCACCTCTCCCGCAGGGACGTGGGGCTTCTGCTGGTGCTGCTGGAGGTCGTGCTGTTAGCTGGCAGAGTCGATGCCGTAAGTACCGCGCACTGGGGATGGCTTTTACTGAGGAGAAGGAGGGTGAGGGCTGTTTCCTTGGTACCTGCAAGCGGGGAGCCGCGTTTCCCTTTGCCAGATGGCTTATCTGTCATGCCATTTAAAGAAACAACCAACAAATCATCTCTGCAAGCCTTACAGATTGCTGCCTTCGGCGAGGTGATATTTAGCAGAGAAGCGCGGGGCTTCACTGTCAGGTAGCTTGAGGGATTCCACGGTTACTTTTGCTCTGGATGGCTAATTTGTTAAGCCGTAGCGAGCAATTAGAAGCAAACCCCGAGACGCCTTCATTTTCATGAGAAAAGCACCGAGGCAGGTGGGCGGGACAGAAATGTAGGGCTACAGATACCAGAATGCGGAGGGAAGTGAACCTGCAGGTGAAATGTGTTTAATCCTGTACAGACCTCATTTGAGGACTGAGAATTTGAAGACACGGCTTCATTGTGCAAGTGAGAAGCACGTTTATAAATACATTGTCATTTAAATTAAGGGACGTTTAGACTGGATATTACGTTAAGGATAGTGAGGCCCTGGCACAGGTTGCCCAGAGAGGTGGTGGGTGCCCCATCCATGGAGACGCTTGAGGTCAGGCTGGGCAAGACTCTCAACAACCTGATTAAGCTGTAGGTGTCCCTGTTCGTTGCAGGGAGGTTGAACCAGTTGGCCTTTGGTGGTCCCTTCAAACTCAAACAATTCTATGATTCTACGATTATTAAGTCTAAAAATAAATTAAAAAAAAAAGAATGCTGCAGTAGGTGATTATGAGTATCTGCTTGGGATGCTGATGTAAATAGAAGTTATTTTAGCTCTTCATCATTGTCACGAGGGTTTGAAAGAAGTGGAGGAATTTGCATATGCCTGTCCCAGAGCTTGGTGAGTTCACTGGGATGATTTTCCTTATTGTGAGTAGGCTTAGGATCAGGCCTGGCTGCTGCAGGCCAAGAGATTGCAGAGGCTTGGCTTGTGGCCATGTCTGTCAGCCATTAGGCTGGGGTGATGCTCCCTGGCCACATGCGAGGATAAAATGAACCTCAACTATGTTTTTTAAGAGCTATCCTACTTATATTTTAATCCCACTCTGGAGTTTTTACCGCTTTTTTATGTGGTTACATGTCTGCAGTGAAATGGGTTGGAGTTGAAACTAAATCATCTTTAAGATCCCCTCTAACCTAGCCCAATCTATGATTCTGTGGCATAATGCACTAAGAATTGGGAAATACTAGGAGTTTTGCAGCTAGTATTGTGGCACACCATACAGGTTTCACACACAAGCTGCAGCAGGCCCTAAGATCTGCACGGGGCTGTTGGTGTCAGGTACGATACTGGGGTACATCATTCCCCTTGTGGCAAAGTGAAAGTTGACAGGCAGCTCTCACAGTCCCACAGGAAAGGCACTGAGTGAGGAACTCGAGTGTCACGTGCTGATTTCCCTTGCCATGATCTTTTGGTGGAATCATCCTTCTGCTGAGTTGTGTGCAGTGAATGACAATATTGCCATCCGCTGTTGTGTGTGGAGCAGGCTGATGACAATGCAAGCATTTTAGGCTGGGGAACAAAATCAATGGGATTAGCCGATATAACAAGGTATCGTTTGCGGTATGCCTGTTCTTTGTGAAGGTGTGCTGCAGGGTGAGTGGCATGATACCTGAGCTTTAGCCATAGCACAGACTCATATATCTTCATGTTCTGGCTTGTAGGCTGCAGGGTTAGCGTAGACGGATACAGAGGAGGTACATGTGCTACCTTCTCAAGGTAGTGGATGCAGTCTGGCCACTGCTGCTGAAATCTGTACAAAATATATTCTCCTTTTTATGGTAGCTCAGTGTCCTGCGTGGAGATCCATTTTCCTTGACTTAACATCTTTAAGATGGCAGCTGTGTGGAAGATGAAGCTCTGCTGTGCATTTGAGTGACAAAGTATGGTCATCTTTCCATGAGAAATTAGAGCAGTATTTCTACCAAAATACTTACCGATTTCTTGCATATATGCCACTCTCTCTGTTTAGCCAGTGCAAATCTTTCATTAATCACATGGTGAGCTGAATTGGGAAGTTATTGGTTTAAACTAACCAGCCCTCACAAAGAGAAGAGTGGGAGGAGCTAACTTTGGATCAGATCCCCAAACACATTCATGGAAGCTTTGGTCAGCTCTGCTAAGAGAAGCAGCTAGAGGAGAGAACAAGGGGTTCCTTGCTCCTTCAGCCTCATCCCTGCTGAATGTATTTGCAATGTGACAGAGCAGGCTTGCGTGGGAAACAGCAACAGCACCTGAGGAATTGAGGGTGGCTGGCTGGCAGTTGTATGGAGGATTCATTTTGTGCATAAGGATTATGACTGAGGACAAGGCTTGAATTCCAAGTTTTCTGTATGTCAGGAAAACCCCCATTCTGTTCATACTGCCATCATGTTTGTCACATTGATCTGTTACAGTTTGTTACACAAATTAACATGTGAATGCTATGAAGACTTTCATTAGCCTGGGTTTAAAAAAAAAACAATGAATTATTAAATTCTGCAAGACCAGATTAAAAGTCATTGTTCTGCCTGTAATGAGACAAGCAGAGCAGCTGAGTTTGATAGCCACATATGTGAATGAGTTTCAGTTGCTAAGGATAAACACTGCTGAATGAGTGAAATTACATATGTGAAGACACTGCAGTGAGATTAAGGAGAAAGCCAACAAGGAAGGACAGATAAAAAGCGGAACCCAAAGCATTTGACTGGGCATCTTTCTGGCAGACTGTTGTAGCTGCTAGGGGATGGATGTTTCTGAACAGAGAAGAAACAGGATGTTTAGAATAGCTAAAGACTGAGGCAGAAGAAATGGAAGAGGAATCCCTGGATGGAAATGCTGGGAGAAGTAGCCAAATGGAGTGGATAAGGCTCCGGTTATCTTTTGTACTCTTTGGCATGCATTGGCTGGTGATGTTAAAGGCCTTGAGTAACTTTGGAACTTTTTTACATTATAGATTTAAATGTTCATCTGTCTTAAATAAATTGTATTCACTATACTAAATTTAGTTATGTTCACAGATTTTTTCTTCCTTTGTCTCCCTGCATGTGTACTACATTCAAAATATAATTCTTTTTGTTCTTACAGAATATACCTTCTGATAAAGCTGATTTTTTTTTTAACTGTCATCTTTCCTGAAAAATACTTCTTTTTAAGTTTTTTTGTAACATTTAATTTTTCCAACATTTGTAACTTAGTGCAGGGCCACTAAGGTGATCGAAGGGCTGGAGCATCTCTCCTATGAGGAAAGGTTGAGGGAACTGGGCTTGTTTCACTTGGAGAAGAGAAGGCATTAGGGAGACCTCATTGTGGCCTTCCAGTACTTGAAGAGAGCATATAAACAGGAGAGAGAACGGCTGTTTACAAGTGTGGATAGTGATAGGACAAGGGGGAATGGTTTTAAACTGAGACAGGGGAGATTTAGGTTAGATATTAGGAGGAATTTTTGTCCCACTACAGCGTGGTGACGCACTGGAACAGGTTGCCCAAGGAGGCTGTGGATGCCCCATCCCTGGAGGCATTCAAGGCCAGGCTGGATGTGGCTCTGGGCAGCCTGGTCTGGTGGTTGGCGACCCTGCACATAGCAGGGGGTTGAAACTAGATGATCTTTGTTTTCTTTTTTAACCCAAGCCATCCTATGATTCTATGATTCTATTTGATTACCTTATTGGTGCTCCATTAGTACATTATTCAGACTGCTCCTAACAAAAATTACTTTTTCTAAAGCTCTATGCTGGGGAGAGCAATAGAATTCCAGAAGAGGGGTGAATTTTAGACTAAGGAAAGTTATGAAAATGTTAGAATAACATACACAAAAAGTAACTATGAGTAACTGATCATAACTGTCATGTATTTTAAAAAAAGAAAATATTAATGTATCGAGAGATTTATATACAAAGAAAATTGAGTCAGTATGAATGAAATAAGATTCTATTGATTTCTGTAACACTGTAAAGAGATGTATTAGGGGAAATGGCATCTACAAGAGAAAAGCAGCAATCCCTTATAAGAATGGATGGAACCAATAGTACTATGTACATCTTTATATTGATTTTATAGTGAAATGAGATAACTAGCACAAGTTAATGCTCTAAATTATACTTCAGAGTTCTATAGCTATCATATACGCAGATTTTCCTCCGTGTGTTCTGTTTCTTTCCATCTCAAAAATTTTGTCTGGTGAAAGTAAGAGGACTGTTTATGTTGACCCAGGATTTCCAGGCAGAAGGAAACTAGGCTGAAGCACTCAATCTGCCCTTCTGGGCATGTTCACTGTGAATGCATGCACTAAGATTCACTTCATAAAATATGTGATACAGTTAATGTATAAAAATAACAAAACTTATTTTAATGTTTAATTTTTATTATTAATATTAGAACATATGGTTTTGTTGCTCTTTTTTTCATAAAACTAGTGTTTTTGTGATGCTGGAGCATCAGTGTCAGGTTCGATGGCTGCAGTGGTTGCAGTTCTCAGAGAGCTCTCCAGGTGTTCATCAGAGATTTTTGCTGAAATTTTACTCTTCCTATACTTCATCCTTGGGAGCAGCTGTTCACAAATGCATGTACTGCAAAAAGTGATTACATGGATAAGGCGTGACTGTGAAGTGAAGGATATTTGTCTCTGCTAAGAGAGGGCTTATAGAAGTCTGCTAGAGAGAGATGATCAAATCTTTGATTGCAAGTCCATACATTCCATTTGAAAATTCACGGGTAATGACATCTGAGAATGGAGTATCCAATAAACAAAAAAAACCTGATAATTTTTTGGCAATCTTGAAGCCTGTTCTCAAATTCCTTTATCGCAGCAGAAAACATGGCTGTATATTCTACACTCTTCACAGAATTCTTTTGACCTAGTGTATCAAAATCCACAGACTTCTTTGCCATCACTTGAACTGGCACTGCACTGCCGCCTGTGGCCTGGTTTCAGGGCACTGATGTTCTATTGAGGCTGAAGGACCTGG